GGTAACTAGTAAGTGCTGGGAGAATTGGCTGCTCCCAGAGAAGAGCCCCCTTATTGCCAAGTTATCAATCTTGTAACCATTTACACACAAACAAGAATATATATGTATGCATATGAATACATACATATATGCATGTAACAATAAAAAAAGAGGCTATCAACTTGAGAGTGGGAGCACTGGAGGGATCCTAGGGAAGGTAATGAGAGGGGCTGGAGGGAGAAAAGGGAAGAGGAAAGTGATATAATTCTATTTCAATTTTTAAAAAGTAGAAATTTGCCAACTGTAGTGACACATGACACACCTTTAATCCCAGCACTTGGGAGGCAGAGACAGGCAGATCTCTGTGAGTTCAAGGCCAACCTGGCCTATGGACTGAGTTTCAGGACAGGAATGAGTTTCAGGACAGCAAGGGCTATGTAGAGAGAGACCCTGCCTCAAAAAACAAAATAAAAGTGAAAACTTTAAAAAAATAGATGGAATTAAAAAACCTGTAAAGTGTCTGAATTATCAACTCTGCACAAAAATAAAAATAAAGAAAATGAAAATTCAATTAATGACAGTTAGTCATTGTAACAATAAAATAAATTAGTTGATTTTTCCCCTCTTACATCTAAAAAAGTTCAAAATAAAAAAGTAAAATAAAAACAAGAGCTGGACATGGCAGTACATACCTATAATCCCAACACTTAAAGAGACTAAGGCAGGAGGATTCCAAGTTTGAGATCAGCCTGGCCTATATAAAGAAAATCTGTCTCAAACTAAAATAAACCAACTGCCCAATAAAGGCACTCCACCCAAAGCAAAAGTAATAAACCTGTAGACATGTTTTTTTCTGATATAACTAGTTCTTTTCCTGTTACAATAACCGGGATACAAAATAATTAAGATGGATATATAGGTTAATGCAGCACAAAATTTACAGAAAGAAACCTCTAAGAGGAACTGTTTCCATTTTTGGTGATCATAAATAGTTAATTTTGGTCTTCTTATAAATGAATGTTATTTTAAATACTGTTGATAACAATAAAATGGTGACAGGCAAAAAAAAATACAGCATTTTAACCAATTCTGAGGGAAAAAACAGACTAGAGAGACGGCTCAGTGTTTAAGTGTAATTGTTGCTCTTGCAGAGGACCTTAATTTGGTTCCCAGCACTCACATGGAGGCTCACAATTGTCTCTAACTCCAGTTCTAGGGGGATCAAATACCCTCTTCTGACCTCCACAGGTATGCTAATCATGCACATTCATACATACAGGCAAAACACCCATATACATAAAACAGAAATAAATCCTAACAAATGAAAAAGTAGTAGATAAAGGTATAGCTCAGTAGTAGAGCATATGCTTAACACATGTTAGACCCTGAGTGAGATCACCAAGTTGTTAGATATCTCTCTCTTCCTCTCTCAGTAGCACACCAGGCATGGTGGAATGTCTATCTCAAATCCCCACACTCAGGAAGACTGGGAGCTGGGAGACCAGTCTATAACTACATAGAAAGTCTCTATCTCAAAAAAAAAAACCCTTTAAGCCAAGTGTGGTGGCTCATGATTGTAATTTTAGAACATGTACGACTATAGCAGGAGGATTATGTTAGTTTATTTAGCCAGCCTGGGCAACACAGTGAATTCCAAGCCACTTGAAGCTACATAGTGAGCCTTTGTCTCAAAAAACATCAATAAAAAATCATTTAGCAAGGTAAAAGTTCAGTTAGTATAGCATACTTTTATCTGAACCATTTTGATATTCAAAGATATATGAAACACACCTGATGTTTCATATTAGTTTGCAAAAGGCCAGAAGCTTCTAGCAGATAGTTATAAGTCCATCTAGAGGCCAATTTCATGAAGGGGATCTAGCATATGGTTACTTCTTCATCTCCCTGCGTCACCACAGTCATGTTAGTCTACACGACAGGTCACATATTACGCAACTTTAGGGTATTGACATTAGATAAAACCTGCAAAAACATTTGTCAATGCCTAAGACAGAGAAAGTATTTAATAATATTTATTCAATCTACTACAACTCCTAACTTAAATTTACTGGTTAAGGGTAGAATCTGGGGCCATAAAAAGGAAATATGAAAGTAAAAAAGAAGTAGCACTGAATGATTTTGGCGTCCTCTGTGTAATTTTTTTAAAGATTACATCAGGTAGGGGTTGGAGGATGGCTCGGCAGTTAAGGGCACTTATTGCTCTTCCAGATGACCCAGGTTCGATTCCCAGCACCCTTATGGCAATTTACAATCATCTGTAATGCCAGTTCTCGAGGATCCGATGACCCCTCCTGGACTCCACAGGCACAGCACAAGCACATGTTGTACATGCAGGCAAAACAGCCATATACAGAAAAAAATAGAAATTAAGAAAAATCAAGTCCGTTAAAGGGCTTAGAATAGCAACTAGCACATAGTAAGCACAATTTAAGTGTTTGTTGTTATTCCTAACATGCAGACAATTTAGGGGAAGGAAATTTAAAAAAAAAAGGAACAGGAATTTACAAACTAAAAATATAGTGAATTTCTTGATGTTCAAACAAAACCAAGAATAGCCGCTCCTAACAGTAAAAACTAATTAACTCTATGCTGAACAAGTACCAAATCTCAACACTTAAAAGCATCTGTAGAACTCCTCAGTAAGTGTATAAAAGTAAGGGCCATTTGTTGAGTATCTACTAGATCTTATGGTAGTATTTACTTACATAGGCTCCAGAGGCAGAGCTAGGTTTGATGCAGAGTTCCACCTTCTAAAATTTACCCTTGCTTCTGGTGCTGACCTGAACCAGGGCTTAGTAGTTAATGGGGGGGGGCTCTCTTCCCCCTCTTAATAACTGTGTGACTTATGTCTGATAATGGGAACATACTATTGTTACAGGGTTATTTCGAAAACTAATTAGGATTATCAATGTAAACACAATAATGGCTATCATTGCTATCCCCACCTAGGGACTGTGAAACAGTTATTTATTTGCATAAATTGTCTTACAGTCCTTGCAACACCACCAGCAGCCAGCACCAGATGATGGCACATGCTTGCCTGTAAACCACACACTGAGGTAGAAGCAAGAAGATGGCTGTAAGTTCAAGGCCTGGATTACGTAGAGCATCAAGGGCTACGCAGCAAGAAAAAGGAATGCTTGAGCCTAGTTGAAGATTCCGAAAGTGACACACATCATATTCTAAACCAGCAGGATTCCAGGTCATTAAGAACACAGTGTTTTTGCCTTAAGTCACAAGGCCTAACACGATTATGAGACAGCATTTTTTAGGGCTTAAATGGTTATTAATTCACTGAACAAACTACTAATGAAAACTTTCCCACATCCCAGGCATTGTGCTATATGCTAAAGCTACAGTGGTGATTCCTACCCTTCTAAAGCTTATTTAAGGACCAAAGCTGTTGGCCTAGCAGGAACGAAGCTCTGGGTTCAATTCCTAGCACGGAAAAAAAAATACAAAAAAGAAAAATCCAGCAGGGCACGGTGGTGCAGCACTTGGGAGGCAAGAGTCAGGACAGTCACAAGTTCAGGGTCAGCCTGGGGGTTTGCACCGCCAATTCCAGACCAGCCAGAGTTCCGTAGTAAGACCCTTCCTGAAAACATCAAAATAAGCAATTTGTGTAAGTGGGAGAGACAATCAACAAGTAACCAGGTAACGCTAAATCTACAACATTGACATAAAGAAATCAGGATACGGCATTTAACTAGTAGTGGGGGGGCAATACTCACAATAAAGCAGGCTAACGTATTTATTTAATCGGAGGCAGGAGCTTTAAGTTACTTTAGCAAACAAGGCAGTGGAACGGGGTTGGGGGCAGCTTGGCGGGTTACAAAAACTGGAACCAATGAGCATTGATTGAGGCAAGCTATCAGAGGCTGACTGTGGAAAAAAGCAGGTCCTTTAGTCTAAGAACTAAATCCATATATTTTTTCAAATTTCTCGCAGCATCAAGGGCATCAAGTCAGGTGTATCTAAATCCAATATGGGTCGTGGGAAAAATGAGCCGCCTTTTCGCCAGTCTCTGCAGGTGGAAAATGAGCGTGATTTTTCACTACCAGGGCCGCAGCGCGGATCCAATGGAGCAACTGCGCATTCCATAAATATGAATTATGACATATGCAGAATTAGAAGCAAAGCCCAGGCCCGAACATGCCCTCCCATGCTGTTGTCTTGGATGCCGGAGCACTTTCGAGAGGTGCTCCGAAGCTCTCCCCAGCCGCCAAGCCCCAAACTTCCAGGTCTCTCCTGAGAAAGCTCCCCCACCCTCCCCATGCCGGATAATTCTCGAAGTCGCGGTCCGTCCGCCTCGTGCCCTCTGGCCACACATGTCAAGCCCCACGCCATTTCCACCTTCCTGGCCCACACGCAGTCAGCCCTCTCGGGGGTTCATTGGAGGGGCGGCCCACCCCCGAACCCCGCCATTCCATGCCGCCCGCCGCCCTCCAGGGACCTCCTGGCAGATTCCAGGAACCTGTGCCCGCCCCC